AGCCACCTTGCTGCGTGGCGCACCTTGTCCCTGTTATGCAATATCCTCTTAAAGTCCGTTGTTCCAGCTCGTTAGAGGAGCGCGATCCTCTGGTCGGTCCGCTGCGGGCAAAATGCAAGGAGATAGTAGAGAGACTGTCGGGGGGCACCGCACTCACACGCTGGGTGGATTCCAGGGACACTAATTTTTGCGAGCCATCCTTTAACTCCAACTACCTTAGTCCGTAGTGCCATGAGCGCCGAGGCCTCGTGTTTCTAAAGGCCGTCGTACCGGTTAAGGCACTGGGTTTCCTACGGGTCCTTCCTGACACGGTCTGGATGCGCAAGGTCTGCGATTACCAAGTTCCATTAATCTAAACTGAAGAGAGAGAGAGAGAGAAGAAATCTCCCGGCACCTTTGTGCGCGAGATAGCGACTCTCCTCTCCAATGCCCTACTGCTGTGTTACCATGTTTGTTTGCTTCTCTGATATAATCCACCAGCCACGTCTTCAGCCACAACCAAGGGAACAGGCCGCAGGCCTGGGACCATAACACTTCCATGTCCTTACTCTCCTTCCTGGTCTAGCCGCTTCGGCTTGCCATCTCTCCCTCTATTTCGCTCGATACTCGTCCTGGATCATCCGGTACGGGCCTTTTCGCTGTTATGTCTGATATCCTCTAATTAGTTCGGGCCGGGGGAACAGAAGTCTGTTATACTGGGTCCGAAGCGTATACATCGCGGGTTCAGGTTTAGACCGGATACGGCGGGGTCGGCCTCGAGTTCGTCTCGGGGGAGCAGAAGCAGCATCCCAGACTTGCGTCAGGGCTCCCCCAATCTGGGTAGTGACCTTGTGGGTGTTCGTCGATGCTACTCTTTGGGCGGCCCGTTCTTGGACGTAGAGTTCGATTGGGGGAACGTCCGCCTCTCTCTTAAGCGCGGCGATTGGTGTCCGTTTATAAGCCCCTAGGATCTTTCGTAGACACTTGTTCTGAACTTTGGCTAGGTCCTTCATTTTGCCTTCAGAGATTGGCTCACCCTGCTAATAGACTCCCCAAATAGGGGCGCCGTATATCATAATAGGCCGTGCAACCGCTATGTAGAGTAGCCTCGATTTCCGGACGGATGGTCCCTATACCGGTGAAGTTACCCTCGCCAGGGAGTCGAAGGCCTTAAGTCCCCTCTATATTACCCGGAGGATATAGTCCTTCTATAAGAGGGAAGGGTCGAGCCAGACTCCCAGTACCCGGAGGGATATAACCAGTTTAGCTTAATATCCCTATATTTGGATCGTGGACCGGAGATTAGCGGAAATATTGCGTTTCTTAGTAAAGTAGATAATCTGGTACTTATCCGGGGCAAATTTAGCCCCGAACCGTGACGCCCATTCTAGGCAAGTATCGTAGGCCGCAGTTAGTCGTTGGCAGTTAGCTACTGCCGTATCTCCCCAGGTAACCAGTATAGTATTATTAACGAACCCGAACCCGAGTACGTTACCCTGAACATCCTTGAACTGATGTAGCAGGTCAGATATGAATAGGATAAACAGCGCGGGTGATAGGGTAGAGCCTTGCGGGATCCCTGTCTCCGTGTCGAACCAGCGGCTCTTAAAGTCCGAGAAGAGAATCTTTGTTCGCCGTCCGGTTAAGAAAGATACGATCATCTAGATAATCTATTCGGGATATCCCATCCGACGAAGGACCTAGAGTAGCCGGGGGTAAGAGACGTTATCAAAAGCTCTAGCAAGGTCAAGCCCAAGTACAGAGACCACCGACTTCTTTGCGTGCCACGCCGTCTATATAGTCCCGGTAAGGAGTTCTAGGGCGGAGAGAGTGGATCTCTCCTTTCGAGCTCCCATTTGGTTCTAGGGAATCAGATCTCGTGTTTCCGCTTTAGTGATCAGTCGATCTGCGAGGATTTTCTCGATTAGCTTTGTAACCGTGTTTTCAAGGGCAATAGGGCGGTAGCTGCTTAGAAGAGAGTAGTGCTTTTTCTTGTCCTTCCTTAGTACCACCGTAGTAGATTCCTTTAGAACTGCTGGTAGCTCCCCGCTTCGGAAGAGAGCGGTGACCGTCCGGGCTAGGTCTACGGCTAGGATATCAGAGAGGGCCTTCAGTACCTCGTTCGGGATCATGTCAGGCCCGGGGGCCTTCTGGTTCGGTAGCCGGCGGATAATCCGGGTGATCTCATCTGGGGTGACCTCTTGCCCGATATCGAATCGTGGGAACTGTTCGTTGGTTATATCTTGGAGGTCAGCGGCACCGCTCCGTGGGAAGAACTTTGTAGCAAGGATCTCTGCTTTCCCTTAGTTGTCTCCCGTCGGGGGATCGTTCTCCGTGCGCCTAAGTGGTGGGATAGCTGTAAGCCTGTTACGGCACGGTAGCTGGATGCACACAACATACGCGTAGCCAAAGATATTCTAGATTGAGATGAAGAGTACAAGGTAGCTGTGACAGAGGAATCTTGATGAGGTTCCATCTCTACGCTAGGTTTGATTAGGCTTAGGCTCTCAGCCTATGCCAACCATGGGCCATGCCCATAACAAAGCCTACCGGGTTGCCCAGCGGTCTTCTGGCTCCACCTATTCAGTCTCTAGAGCCCTCGGTTGTGTATATAGTCCGGGTAATTCTCGTCTTTAGTAAGTGTCTAGATAAGTTTTCTCTATCTCGTCCGGCCGTTACTACGCATCTTCCTCCTTAGGGCATTCCTTTGGTATTTCCAGTCTCGTTCGTCGTCCGGGTCCTGGGTCCGTTGGAGCCGGCGTCGGGCCTGGCGGGCGCCAGCCAGGAACCCTGCGGCCTATGGTGACCACCCCGGTCTAGACCAGTCACAAGGTCGCGCCCGTTTACAGTGCTTGTCCAAGGTGCCGTAAAGAAGTCTAATAAGGTTGTCAATCGCAGTATGGGGTTCTGGTACATACCACTAGGAGCTAGAGACATCTTCCCGGATTTTTTCCCACGGGGCATCCTTGAGTGTGAACCTTGGGCTCGTCTAGTGTGAGGAAACCTTGGCGTCCAGTTGGATCTCGATTAGAAAGTAGTCCTTTGTAGTATGTTAGATATCAACCATCCTCTAGAGGTTGGGAGCCAGGTGACATCCCAATACGGCTAGTACCATGTGGTCATCTCCTATTCCTCCGAGGCCTCCCATACTCCTAGATAGATTAACCAATCACGTATCAATACTTCTACAGGTTATGAGCCCAATCTTAACCCACCGTGCCTGAATTCATCATATCATGGTTATCCAGGTCTTGATGGATTAAGGCCTTAATTACACAGATTATACGAATACCCTCTCGTCGCTGTCTCACTGTATTAAGCACCTAATCCATCAAGACCACCCAAAACCCCCCCCCGACCCATTATCCAGGGCCCTCATCAAAACCAGCCAGGAGCCCTCCATCTAGACCATCTAGGGCCTCCCTTATCAAGATCAACCCCATCGCTCATAGGCCACATCCTATCACCTCTGCCGAAGCTATCCATACCGTGGTCTTCTTTAACCTCGTCGACGACACGGAGAGCCATAGACCTCGTACCTACGCGAACACTTCAACCACAAGCATCACGATGCCATGGTTACGGGGGAGCCATCAATCTCCGCCTGCATGGATCGATATACCACCCATAAGCATCGTGATACCATGGTTGCGGGGGAGCCATCAATCCCGTGGATACCACCTATGAGCATCGTGATACCATGATTGCGGGGGAGCCATCAATCCCGTTGATACTACCCATAAGCATCACGATACTATGGCTACGGGGGAGCTACCTCCTCTCTACAGTCATCCCTCGCCACCGAGGGAACAATCCTCTCCCACGGCGACCAACCCCATCACGGAGACCATCCTCTCCTCCGGCACCACAGAGACCATCCTCTCCTCCGGTACCACAGAGACCATCCTCCCCTCCGGCGATACGCTGATCGAGCGGGATCACTCCTCCCCTCCGGCGATACGCTGATCGAGCGGGATCACTCCTCCCCTCCGGCGATACACTGATTGAGCGGGATCACTCCTCCCCTCCCGAGATATGCTGATCGAGCGGGACTCCTTCTACCCCTCCGCCGATATACAAGAAAGACAACAACATGAACCACACCTAGACGCACCTTAACTGGAAAGGACCACTGATACACGCGTCACACGTTAAATAAACTCAACGTCACTGTCTTACCGTTTTCAAGCCCTCAATCCGACCAAGAAACTATCTCAGGACTTTATCACCAATGAACCAATACCTAGACCCTTAACTGGAAGGCCTACTGAGACACAGCTCACACGGTGAATAACCCCTCGTTACTGGCTCACTGTTTCAAGCCCTCAATCCGATCAAGAACCACCTAG